TTGGGAGCGAGCAGTTGGGCAAGGGACAAGAAAGGACATTCAAGTCTGCAGCAGAGGAAACGATAAGAGCAGGAAAGACTGAACGCCACCTGATTTTTGTGACTGAAAAATACGATTACAATTTTTAAAAAGGTATTCATTCTATACTCACGTTTGTTGCTTCTATCTCCAGATAAAACAACTCAGTAAAATTCAATGCATGACTGAAAGCAAGGACTGCAAACTTGTCAGCTACACTGCGAGGCTCACTCTTCATCAGGGAATGAAATACAACTTCCAATTAATAGCAAGAAAATACGGATTGTTAACCACTCCGGCCATGAGAAAGGCATTAGGGTGTCTGTTGGAAACATGCAGCTGCAACAGAGATCAGAGCTCTGCTTCACGTTAAGACATTCACACCGCCCTAACCAAATTAAATGGGAAGCTAAGTAATGTAAAGCTATCAGGCTCTCTTTCTTCCTTCTGCATGCATGAAATGACATTTTAAAGTTACGTGTGATGTCTCAGAGCCTTTAAAGGGGTCAGGCACCAGGCGCATCTGGCATGCCGATCTCCTCATTCAGGAACATGAAGTCATCCTCCGATTTGCATTCCTCAGTCAAGAATGTGTAATTTTCCACGTGTCACTTTTCCAACTTGCACATTGAAGAGAGATTAATATTAATTTCATAGAAGATTGGGCACATTTAAGAAAATTGCAAGCCCTGCTAATTGTGTTTTAATTAAACTAGAAGTGGAATAGTGTTTGATAAAGAGGGCTGATGTTATTTGAATAAACACGCTCCACACAGCCCACTGCGCTGCACCATAAATCAGTTCAGTGCCAAATCCCACGCGATGGGGTGAATCAGGTATTCTAGGATCTTCCAAGGCATAAGTTCAATGGTAAAATTACCACTTCTTAAAATTGCCGCTCTGCTCGCCCCTGCCGTGCGGAGGGGACGTGGTCACTGCAGCGGCCTGAGGAGCCACCGCCATGCAAGCTGGCTTACCCCGAAACGCGACCGTCCCAGTCGAGTCTCCTTTAGGAGGATCGAGATGCGCCCTGGAGCATGTGGTGGTACCCAGTGCCACCCTGGCTGGTGGCAGCACTCCAGCGGGGTGGGTGACGGGATGGGGCCACAGGTCTGAAATGAGTTTGATGGTTATCAGCAGTGTGCCTTGGGGATTGCACATGGTAAAGTACACAACACAATTGCTTTGGCTCTTGCAATCAAAATATTTGCTGTGGCAGGTAGGGAGAAACAGGGCTGCAGTCTGATGAGCAGTGGGAGGCACCCAGCCCTAATCCCTTTGAAATCAAAGGCCTTTCCCCCACCATGCCCGGGGAACAGATCCTAGGAGCGACCTCCAGCCTCCCAAACATCTCTCAAAGCTCTCAGTGACCTTATCTTTCACATTTGGGGCAATCAAAGACACCAACAGCATTAGCTGTGCGATTCACTTGATTTCAAGTCACAGACTAGAGCCTATTTCTTCTAAATTTCCCTGCTACAAACACGTTACATCAGCAGTAACTCTCCCTGGGGAGAAGGTGGTCCTGCTCTGGAGGAGGCATCCGTGTCCTGCAGACGCCACTGGCACGGAGGGTGCCGGTTTCATTCTGGCTGCGATGGGCAGGTCAGTGTTGGAAACAACCACCCCAGTTGCTGTCAGCAAGTTCAGCAAGTTTCTGGCTCTCTCTGCACCGGGAAGCAGTCTGTCCTCTTGGGAAGACGGATGGAGGAATAATTCAGAAATCACAGACTGGGCTTTCTGCAGCTGAAAGCAAAGGGCAATGAGTCTGGAAAAAAACACCACCAAACATATTCCTGGGGGTGAAGGGGCCTTATTTACTACACTGTAATACCTTCTGTTTCTGTAGGAACATCTGAAGATAAACAGAATAGTGCTTCATCATGCCAGGTAAACAGCTCTCACATGCCATGGCTACGGTCTCTAAGGAGCTTCTGTTTATTATGAACTGTCTCTGCCTCAGCTTTAGCTACAAACCCTCCCTGTGAATCCAACAGGGAGAGGCTCACAATGAAAGTGAAGAGGTTATATGAAGTTACCAGAGGGATACTTATTACCTTTGGGATTATAAGCATTTTTTCTCCCAGAATTTTTGCTTTTTTCCCTTTTTTTTTTTTTTTTTTTTTTTTTTTTTTTTTAATAAGCCCTGGTTCGTTGTTTGGAGTGTTTGCCTTGCCAGTCCCATTTGGAACGGAGCTTTGGTAGCAGAACAAAAGTGTTATCAAAGGAAAGATGTTAGTGATGCTACAGAGACTTTGAAAAGTCAACTATGTCTGAATTATTTCCTAGGTCCTGTGAACTCTCTTTAAACAGAGAAATGCTTGGAATTACATGAAACTAAAGCGAGAGGCTCCCTAGAGGCTCTTGATAAGATTTAAATTTGCAGTAAATATTGGTGTATTGATTATTATCGTGACCTGCTGATTTTTAATTTCCCTTTACAGGGAAAACCCAAACTTCCTTGTTCTGAACCAAATTTGGATTGTTAAAAGCATATAAATGTAAATTAACATCCCCAGGGTTATGCTGGTGTAATTGAGATCATTATTTAGCTCTTTTCTTTGGTTCATTTCCTAAGCTTTTCCATCTCCAAAGGGATGTTGTAAGCGACGCAACGAAACAAATACAAGTTTTAGAGAGTACAAGCTCGGGTAGGCATGCGGCCATGAAATCCTCACCCTCCTCACCGAGAGCGCGATGCACGCCTGGTGCCTCCTCACGGAAAGCGGCTGGTTGCACAACGTAAAAGCCAACGAGGTTTTATTGGGACGAGGTCCTGTAGCTGCGAGGGTTGAGAGGTGCTGGTGGCCCTGTGGCAGCGGGTGAAGCGCTGAGGAAGCCGAGTCAAAAGGGGGGTTGGAGAAAGGAGGAGTCTTCTTCCCCTAACCCCAATGGCTGGAGGGGAAGATCTCCAGGGGACTCCTACCTTTTTGTTCCCAGTGGACTTGATAGTATTCTTGTGATTTGGATGGTAGTGATTTAGCCATGGGGTTTTATACCCATGTATTCCCACCACGTGGCTGGTAAACCATGCACCAGTTTTTTCTTTTCTTTTTAATCCAAAAGGAGAGAGAAAATAGAGAGGTTTTTCATGGCACTGCCGTTTCTGATGTCCTCATACCAAGGATTTGACTACAGTACTTTATGGCTTTCCTACCCTTCCATCAACCTTGGGATGTTTATTTTTCTTCCAACATAGCTGCTTGCAGCATGCTAACAAGAACTGAAGATCTTTTAACACTGCTATTTGTTTACTAAAGACATCAAAGCCTTTTTTTTCCACAAGCCTTCTTTGAGTCGGCACAATCTGCGAACGGCCGTGCAAAACCAGGGTGTGCTTTGTGTAGAGCAAAATAAAGCCACAGAGCGCTGAAGATACAGATATTTTCTTTCTGAGATTCTAAATTTAGCTCTGCTTCATCTCTCATTCCTCAGCTGCTCAAACTATTTGGTCCTAACCGAGAGCCCTGCAGTTTCAGCAGACCTTCCTATTGCCTTCAGCTCCAAGTTGGGTAGAAGAATACGACTGCAAACGTGGACAGTGGCAGTGATAGCAGCTAATCTAAAACAAATTTTTTGTAACATCTATGAGCTTCATCTATGAGTTTTGTAACATCTATGAGATGTATTTCCTTGTCTCACTTTGATGGTCAAGATGCTATACCATGCGAAGAGAGAGCAGCACTCAATTTTTTGCAGCAGGTCCTGAGCGCTTTCGGTTCAGACCCAGGCTGAGGGTGCTCGGCAATACACAGTGGAGGAAATGACGGATGTTGGCAGCAGATTAAATAACAAGATCTGTTGAAAATAATGCCCTAAGAAATACCGGGGCATCCTTTCTTATGGATTTCCTAGATGTGTTGAGGCTATTTTAAGGCCAATTGAACTCCGACTCCTTACAGTATAAACAGAATTATTCCTTGTATGGAACATAAGGCCGCATAAATATCACCATTTGCGTATCATTGGTATTTCCAGTTATATGTCAAGTATTGCCTCACTCCAAACTTTTATCCCACTGTTCAGAGCCTAGCGGCAGTCTTCAGAGAGCATTAAGCATTGATAGTGCATCATAGGAAGCATCTCCATGGAGAACAACCTAAAGTCTCTCCATGGAGGAGGACCTATTAGAGGGGTACCAACAGACCAGCTCCCTCAGGACCTATTCAACTGGTCGGCTGTGGTATGGACAACAGGGAAGACGAGGGCCACAAGGAGGGAGGACAGACAGGACAAGGACTGACCGATACGGTTTTTATTCCAAAAGGAAGCAACTCACCTCAAGCTGCGTTGGCTGAAGGTTACAGAGCAGGCAAATGCCCAAGGCTTTCCAGGAATCGGGAGGCACAACGTGCAAGGTCAGTGAGGGTCAGTAATGCAGACCTGCACGGACAAAGTACAGGTAACGAGAAGCGCTGAGTACATCTGTTGGGGAGGGATGGTGCGTTAAGGGCATTTTTCAGCAATGTATACCTTTTTAATCACCCGGCTGTGGGTGTAGTTCACCCCATCACAGCAGGGGAAGACAGACTGCATGGCCTGGTGCTCGTGGCAGCTTTGGAGACCTGGAACAAGGCAGGTGGAGAAGACCCATGCAGGAGGGGCTGGGTGACGAGAGGACGTGCTGTTCAGCAGCTCTTAACCCTGGAAACACCAAGAGGAGATGCAAGGGGCAAGCAATACAAATCTTTCCCCTTTTGCTAGCTTTAAACCAGGCAAGTGTTGCTGGTACAACAGGGTGCAGCCAAAGAGGCTGCAAGTCTGTGGGACACAGTGGTTTTGGCCACTTCCCTCGACTTGGGTGCTGCTGAGCTTAGATATAACATCGGGCTCAGCAAGGCAGGGCTCAGCCAGGCAGGGCTCAGCCTGCCATGGGTGAGGGATAAAAGGAGCAACCGTTCCCCAGTCCCAGGGTCCCCATGGGTTGGGAGCAGGGACGCGGCCCCATCAGTGACACAGTCAGGCTGCCTCTCCAGTCCCAGCACTCAGGTGACTCCCGCAGAGCACTGTCAGCATCTTGCCTGAAGAAATAAAACAAAATGGCAGAGCCTTAAAAAAAAGAAAAGTTTTAAGCACATCCAACTTTGGGATAGAGCGTAAAATTTCTTGCCAGAGAATTTAAAACAAACTGGAAACTGATCATCTACTCATCCAAATGATGTGCCTGGAGCTAAACCAGCAAGGCTGAATAATCTCTGCACTGCTTTCATCCTTCTTCAATTTTTTTCTTTGTTCCATCAGCCACATGTGCGTTAAGTGTAAATTGAAGGGCTCTTAGCTGGAAAAGCAGATTGTGAAAAGGGCTTGGCCCTCATCTTATAATTCAGCTTCAGTATTACAATTACTCTTAATAGCTCTCTTATTTTGTTGTATTATTTATTCTGGCTAGAACCCTCTAGGATCCCTTGAAGGCTTTTTTTTCTGGTGGATTTAGCCAACATCCACTCATGAATCCAGATGTTTCTGCTTTTATCCACGGGAATTTTATGGTATGGATATGCCAAGATTTTAACTTCAGGCTCAGCCTCAAGACAAGTATTTTTCAAATTCCCTAAATAAAAAATGGAAAGTGCCATGAAAAACCTGGGCCTTACTGCATTTAGCATGCCAGAATGGAAATCAAACCTCAGGACAACATTGCTCAAGGTTCTGGTGTTGATAGAGTCTCCTACGTTGCACCAGAAATTACAGCCCAGATCGTGCTATTTTCCATGTCCTCAGACGCAGACTCTTGCCTTTAGCACATCTTCAGCTCTTCTTTCCATTCACCAGCCTCAAGTTAGGAGCAAAGATACACGTGGGTCCAAGATGCTTACACTGGAAAAGAGAGTCACTGCTGGTGCATTTAAATGAATGAAAATGTGCCTGCGTATGTCAGCTCCCCATCATCAGCACAGATACTCTCCCAGTCAAAATTGGTTCTGAAATAAGGACAATGACAAAATGTACCCTGCCCTGATGGGGACCTGGTGAATAACGCAAGCGTCCGCTATGCCTTTGACAGCACTTTGGAAGAATAACCAACCCCAAACTCATTCCTTGTCCAGAGTGACAAAAGCAGCATGAAGCAGACGCTGAAGTGACTGTAATAACCTTCCTTTCTGAGCTGCCTGGGCTTTCCTTCAGGCACTCCCACTGGTGGTGTCCTGGGTTTCTTCCCTGCTCCCTGTTTGCCAGCAGGATCGACGTCGCCATGCAGTGGCGGTCAGTGCCAGCATGGTGGCTTGGCCGGTGTCCCCCGTTGGGGATGGCTGTGTCCTTCCAAATGCCCCATGGTCCCTCACGAGCACAAGGATAACAAATGCAGGAGATGCACAGGACAGTTTTTGTTGGCCTTTTGGCAACAAATGGTAACCATCATCTGTCTGTGGCCATGCTGCGCACAAAAGGGATGCGTTGTTATGCCTGAGTCCACAAAAGGTGAATTTTAACTTTTCCTCCAGGATGCTCCCGACTGGCCTTGAATCCAACGACCCAACCCCTTTTGAAGCCACGCTTTGTGCACTGGACCAGGGAGAAACGGAGAGCAGTTATTCCAGCCTGGTAGAGAAGAGCCTGTTCCCCTCCCCAGGAGGCTGAAGCACAGCAGCTAGTTATTGCTTGCTCTAATAGCCTTAGTTCTGTACCTGCAAAGTTCCTGGATCAAAGGAAATGTAAATTATTCCTAAAAGCTCTTCTAAGGCTTCCCCCAGCATGGAAAAGCCTCTCAGCTGGCACAAAGGATGGAGCTGGCTCCACAGCAAACCCCTCCAGGGCAGGGACGCGCTGGGGCAAGAAGGAGGCACGAGAGCAGGGGAGCAGAGGGCTGAGCACCCAGCAGTGAGACAGCTCGTGCCGGCTCGAGCAGCAAAGCTTCCCACCCACCCACCCCAGGGCTGAGCTCAGCCGCCTCGAAATCCCGCTGTGTGGACCCACCGAGGGTAGCTGGTAACTCACTGCGAGGTGCCATCAGTTGGGATGACAAGTCCAGGAGTCTATCTGGAGGTGGCAAGGGAGTGGCGGAGTTAGCCTGCACAATGCATTTGAAGAGGAAAGCACTTTTCTTGCTAATATATCGTGGATCAAATGTGCTGTGCAGGGCTTACAGAGGGTGCACATTAAATATCCCACCAGCACGGTAGTTCTGCCAGTTCCCGTCACATTTTCTGGTTTATAATGAGGAACTTTGGTAGTATTCAAGTATGCAGTTTAAATTTTAAAGGCCACCCACTGTACTTATATGCTATATGACAAACTGCATAAGTATACCTGTTCCAATTTATTCTTCCAGTATTTTTAGTAAAATATGGTTTCAATGACTTTGTCTTCTCTGTAAAAAAAAAAAATCCACATTTTTCTTTAATAAGTTCATGACATTCAAGCTACTAATTTTCTTTACCATCACATCCCTTTTTGGACAGAGAATAAAGGAGATTGAATGTAAAAAACAGGGTTTTTTTTCCAAGTTGGAAATGAAGAAATACAAAAATAACGAGCTCTTTAGTTTTAAAGGTTTTTTTCAAAGTTCTCTCAGCAGGTCAGACAAGTGATAAAATGCTTTTGTCTCCCTTTCAGTGGGAGGCTAGTTTCGCCTTGGGCATACTGAGCATCACGGGCACCTCAGTGCAATTTGCTGCTGCCATTGCATCTCCTCTCCTTGGCCCATACTGCTACTGCTCGCTTGCTGAGGTCGCTGGGCCCAGCTACCTGGGTTGTGCGGTCCTGTTCCCCTTGCCCCACGCCGACTTCGCAAACCTCTGCGAAGACCCATCGCATTATAAGTGGTACCACCTCACCCTGCAAATACTAGACCTGTGCTTGAGTTTGGCCATATTCTGTGCATCTTTAGGTTTTGTGATGATTTTTTTGTGAGACTGATCCAGTTTGGACATTTAATCACGAGCACGGGTCACGGCGGGGAAGGTGGATCGCTGCCTGTAATGCCGTAATAGCAGCCAGGAGGGCAGCATGGCTGTGCAAAGACAGACAGATCCTGAATGCACTCACACTGCATTTGTGCTTCAGTAGTGCACACCTGAAGCCATCTGCATCATTTCAGGTTTAAATCACTTTACTAAATAGTAATTTGGCCCTTCAGTTGAAGTGAAGGGGGATGTAAAGGGTACAAAGGGACACATCTTTAGCGTACATAGCCTGGGCCTCTGAATTTAAAGGCTGGGCAAAATTTTGTGGAAATTCTACAGTTTGTTTTTGACGTTACAGAAGGCAGAACCTGAAGATTTGCCTTTCTGCTCTTCCTTATAACTGTGAATGCTGCACTGCCATTAATGCACAGAGCTGTTAAAACCTGTGCAGACATAGATCTGTTACCTGACCAGAAAAGAGGTATCAAAAATCCCCACCGTCCAGCACGTATCATCTCTGCTCCAGGTAGAGCCTTGGGCAGCGGCAGCTCAACGGCATGGCAGGATGAGAGGTGAGGGCAGGAGCAGTATGAGGAGGAGGAACAGGCCTTTGGGAGACCCAGAGCACAGCCAGAGCCCAGCACCACGCTCCCGACCGGCTCCCGCATAAGGCACAGCATCAATTTCTAGCCCTGACATTCCTCCAGCCCACACGCCTTGGCGGACTCACTGCTGGTTCAGACATTCACAAATTTTGCTGTGCTGAGGAAAATCTCACCTTCCGTGCACCCGATCCCTTGGATTTTTTTCTTTCCTTTAACCTTTTTTTGAAGCCAGTCTTGAATCCACGAAAATAACAGTGTTTCCATGACAACAGCCCAGCAGCGGCCTCCTCCAGGGCATCTGAAGAATCAAAACATGGCCAGTGCCTCCTCCTGCTCCAGCTTCACACCCCGTGGTACCACAGCCCCATCCTCTCCCTCCTCCTCTGCTGAAGTAGATGGCAAACTCCTTTGGGCAGAGCTCTGTCTGCTTTGGTCCTATTGGTGAAAGTCACACCGCAGAGGTGATGTACGAGCAGGTATCAGACCACGATACCAGCTTATGGGGGGGTTAGAAAGACCAAGAGGGTCTGCAGTCTAAAGGACTGGACAGCTGTTGGATTTTGTAATCCCCTAAATTTTATTAATAAGATTCATAATTGTCACGCCCTCCCTGGTATTTTACAGAGGATATGAAATGATCCTTTGTTATTCACAGTCACTGCTTTGCTTTCGATACACAGCATTTCCCCTGCCTGCCTTCAGCAAAGCCCTGCGAC